TAGGCGAGGAATGCGGTTGTCCTCACAACGTTTATTGTGGCTGATTCATCTAACAAATGTTCCTTGATTATTGATCCATTTGGCGTGGCAGTAGATCATGGCGAAGAGAATGTTGAAAAAATAAACTCGCATTTATTAATTTTCCAATCCCAGTTACGTAACGCAAGTGGTAGAAAATAAATAGCAAATTTTTCATACCAGTATCATCTGTCTTTGTGACGCTATTTCCTGCATTCACGGCGATGGTTTGAATCTTTCCTCTGAAGAATCCACGGTTATCTGAAGTCATAACTACATTCACTTCCCACCCGTCTTTTCGTCTATGATCTGGTTTACCAAAAAATATTAGACACATGGAGAACTACCTGAGGAAAAACTTCGACGTCCAACCCAAACGACCATCCGAAGAGGCTCTACGGAAATGGCGATCCGCAGTATCCATCGTCAAGAACCCTCGCCGCCGGTTCCGCATGGTGGCTGATCTTGCTAAACGTGCCGAAGCTCAAAGAAAGCGTCAAAAGCTCCAGGTTTGAACGTTGTTCCACCTCCTGCTGTTCATCTTGCTATTCTATTGATCTGATCAAGTTCTACATTTTTTATTTTACGATCTGTCAGATCAGTTAGAAAAAACTGATTCAAAACCAACATAAAACTTAAGAAAAAATCTTGACAAACATGTGGAAGATGAAGAAAATAATATGAACTAAGCTAAAGATGATGCTCAGTTTTTTTCCATTGATTTCCATGCGTTTTTTCATCAATTTATGGTGCCTTTATACAAAACAATACTATCTACATTACAATGTTCACCTAATACAATTAAATAATAATATAAACCCCCAAAAAGCAAGGGCATGGTATTGGATACATTTAAAGTCAACCCATATTTTTAGGTGACCACTTAACATAAAAAAATATAAAAATTACATTGGAATATCAACAAAAAAGACTTCTCAGCAACATAATTGTAATTGAACGGGACATGTGCATGGAAATAGTGCACATGAATAGTAACTTTATTGCACTGTTTCGTTGGTTTTCAACACTCCTCCCTAAGAGGTTTCTTTGTTAATCCAAGCATAGACCTTAGAGTTTCAAATCTAGATTTTGGCAAAAATTTAGTGAGAATATCAACAGTTTGAACTTCAAAATCACATTGCAGAAGTTTGATTTCCTTCTCCTTAACATATTGCGTTATGACATGGTATTTCACGTGAATATGCTTTGTTCTTCCATGCTGTACTGGATTTTCAGCAATTGCAGTGGTTGATTTGTTGTTAATTTGAATCACACATGACTAAACTTGAGGTTGTCCCATGTCAATTAGTTTTTCCTCAATCATATAACATGATTTGAGGTAGCTTCAGCGGCAATATATTTTGCTTCTGCTGTAGATTGTGCCACAGGTTCCTACTTATATGAATTCTAGCAAAACAACCCTAAATCAAATGAGAAAACATATCTTGTAGTGCTCTTTGAGTCATTAGGACATCCCACCCAATCACTATCCACATAGCCTTGCAAAGGACCATCATTTGTAGACTCATACAAAATTCTATAATCAACAGTTCGATCCACATATCTTGAAACTCTTTTAGTAGCATTAGAATGAGTTTAAAATGGTGAAGTCATGTACCTTGATAACAAACTAGCAACAAACATAAGATCAAGCCTTATTATTGTAAGATAGAGTAAACTCCCAACCAAACTTTTGTAAACTGAAGCAATACACTTTAAGCTGTCATCATCTTTAAACAATTTCAAATTCTATGCAAGAGGAGTAGCAGTTGGCTTGCATTTATCATTTTGAACATCCTGAGAATGTCCTTGGCATATTTCTCTTGTTAAACAAAGATTTTGTTGTTGTATTGCACCACTTCCATTCTTGAAAAGCATTTCATCTCTCCTAAGCTATCATTTCAAATTCATTCTGTATGGAAGCCTTGAGTTTTTGAAGGAGTTCAGTGTCTTCTCCAATCATCAAAGATCCTTAACATAGAGAAAGACCAACAATTGATAATTAGGATTTCCACCTTTGGCATAAAGAGTGAATTGAATTCAGTTTCACTTCTTTGAAATCCTTGTTCTATCAAGTAGGAATCAATCCTACTATACCAAGCTTGAGGGGCCTGTTCCAAGCCATAGAGAGCTTTATGCAGCCTATAAACATGATCTTCATAGCCTTGAACCAAAAAACCTTTCGATTGTTCGACATAAAACTCCTCTTCCATAATTCTATTTAGAAAAGCATATTTGACATCTAAATGATAAACCTATTTCTTTTGAGCAACTAAGGCAAAGAAAAGCCTTATAGTATCATGCCTGGCTATCAGAGAAAATATTTCTTCAAAATTAACTCCAAGTTGCTATGCATAGCTTTTTACCACAAGCCTAGCCTTGTATTTGTTCAAGGAACAATCAGCATTTAGCTTTGATGTATACACCCACTTAATTCCTATGCAATTTTTGTCTTTAGGCCTAGGAGTAAGTGACCAAGTACCATTCTTTTCAATTGCAGTAAGCTCCTCCTGCATTGCATTTCTCTATTCTTCATGCTTGCAAGCTTTTGCATAATTAAATGGCTCATCTGCTATAAGACTACATTGCTCATAAGTTCCCTCAAGGACTTTGTTTTCAAGACAGGAGAATCATCATCCATATCAAAAATCCTACCATTTGAATTTGAATTTGAATTAGTAGTTTTGGTTGCATCAACATCATCTTTCTTTAAAACAGAATCATGTTTTTCAACTTTTTGTTGCTCAAAATTCCAATAAGCATCTTCATTGAATTTAATGTCCCTGTAAACATTTACCTTCTTAGAGTGTACATCGTACACCTTATAACCCTTGAATTGAGTTGCATAGCCCACAAAGATGCCAACATTTGCTTTTTGGTCCAGCTTAGTTCTTTTTGCATCTAGAAGATGAGTGTAATACACTAAACCAAACACATTAATATGGTTGGCAGAAGTTTTGATGCCATACCATGCTTTTATGGGAGTTTTTCCTTTCACAATGTTTGTAGGGAGATAATTTAGTAAATAAATAGCTATGTAAATAGCCTTTGCCCAAAATGATTTAGGCAACATATTTTCATGCAACATGCACCTAGTCATCTCCATTATAGTCCTATTCATCCTCTCCTAAACACCATTTTGCTAAGGTGAATAAGAAACTATTATTTGGTGCTCAATGCTAGCATCTTCACAAAATTTGTTAAATTCAGACCTCAAGGTCTTGATTTTGTAGCCACTCTAGTTTTCAACTAAGGCTTTGAACTTCTTGAACATTGAGAAAATCTAATTTTTGCTACTCAAAAAATACACCCAAGTCATCCTCATAAAATCATCAATAAAGAGAATGAAATACTTGTTGCTATTGAGTGACTCTATCTTCATAAGCCCACAAATGTCAGTATGAATGAGTTCAAGCTTTTCACTAGCCCTCTATGCTTGATTAATTGGAAAAGCTTGTCTATGTAGCTTTCCGAGTTGATAGGTTGCACACATATTATCACTTAAACTAATGCTAGCAAATCTCTAACTAACTCATTTGTTTGCAAGAATTTAAAAAATTTCATATTGAAATGACCATCTCTTATGCCATAACCATGTATCATCACATTTAATAGCATATGAGCAAGACTGAATTAAATTCCAATTCACAAGAAAGCTATAGTCAATCATTTGGCTCTAATTACTTTAGAACCATGAGAGTCTATATGGTGTAGGTATCATGTTTGAATTGTAGACTATAGCATTTTTTCATCATTTGAGTTGCTAACAATAAATTTTGACTCAAGGAAGGAACATAAAGAGCATTTGAAATGATTTTGGTACCAAAGAAGCTTGTACAACAATTGTTCCTTTCCCTTGTGCCTACACCATTGAGCCATTGCCCAACTTGACTTCTATCTTCATAGACTTGTCCATCTTTGTGAAATAATCTTCATTTTTGGCCATGTGACAAGTACAACCACTATCCACATACTAGTAATATTTTAAGGAGGTAGAACTCCCCTTAACAACCAAGAACAACTGTTCTTCACCTTGTTGATCATTTAAGTAGTTTGCTTATTGTGATTGTTTTGGTCTGTATTGGCCTTTCTTTGCCTTGCAAGACTTCTCTTTGTGGCCAAACTTTTTACATGCATGGCATTGCACTTGTTGCTTCCCCTTATACCAATAATTTTTTGCCTCATGATTAGTTCTTTTACGATACCAGCATGGTGGAAAATTGTCCTTCCTAGTTTGTTGAACTGGTTGAGTTTGTGTTTCAACCATATTCTCTTTGTCAAAGCTGTTATAGGAGGGCTTAGAATCTAAACTTGTAGCTACCTGCTTTCATTTTTGTCTTGCTTGGAAGGCACCTTCGATTGTAGCAACTTGATCTTTTAAAATCAATTTTTGTTCATGAGCTTTCAACTTGGTGAGGAGCTCATTAATAGTCATTGTATCCAAGTCACAAGTTTCTTCTATGGTTGAAATCTTAGACTCAAACTTGTTTGGAACACTCACCATGATCTTTTCAACAACCCTCTTGTTGGAAACTCACCATCATTTGCCTTGATTCAGTTCACCAAGTCTGTTAACTTGGTTGAATATTGGTGAATGGTTTCATCTTCTAACATTCTTAGCATATCAACTTGCCTCTTGAGTGTGATAAGATTGTTACCTTTCACTCTTATATCACCTTCGAACTTATTTTTCAGAGCATCCCATGCTTCCTTTGTTGTTTTTGCAACCATGATCCTTGAAAAAAATGAATCTATAACACCACTGTAGACGTGTGAGAGTGCCTGGTAAGCCTTTTCTATATACTCTAAATGATTCTTCAACTGGGCAATGGTAAGATTGTTTGGGAGATGAGGAGGACAAAAGCCATTCTCCACTGAATCCCAAACACCATTGCCTTTCAAGAAGGCCTTCATCTTCACTGACCAAATATTGTAATTCTCCTCTGTGAATAGAGATGGATTTGAAAGTAAATCAGAATTGTTTTAAGACATTGTTGTGTTTGCTTAATCACAAACTTCTCTCCCTCACCACAACTCATGTTTGCATTCTCTCACTACACTCGCAAATCCCTCAAGAAATGGTTTCTGATACTAATTGCAAGATCAGCTAGAAAAAACTTATTTAATTCAACATAAAACTAAAGAAAAAATCTTGAGAAATATGTTAAAGATGAAGAAGATAACATGGATTGAGCTAAAGATGATGTTAAGATTTTTTCCATTGATTTTCCTTGCATTTTTTCATCAATTTCTAGTATGCTTTTATACAAAACAATACCAACCACATTACAATGTTCACCTAATACAATTAAATAATAATATAAACCCCATAAAGCAAGGGCATGGCACTAAATACAATTGAAGCTAGCCCATATTTTTAAGTGAACACTAAACATCGAAGATAAATAAAGATTACATTGGAAAATTAACAAAGAAACTTCCTAGATATGAACAGTGCATGTGAACGGTAACTTGCTGCAATGTTTCATTGATCTTCAACATGATCATCCCATCATTAGTTCTATGGTGTAATTATGTTTCTCTCAACATGTTTTCTCAGGAGAAGATCCGAATTGCCCTATGCGTGCAAAAGGCAGCATTGCATTTCATTGCTGGTAAAATCTGATCTTAGTAAATGATCAAAACTTTTCCATTTTCAATCCACTGAACTCCTTCTCCCAATGCACAGCGGGTAATCGAGCCGAATACAAGCTTTCCGACGAGGTAAAGCAAGCCGGATTCCACATTGAACCTAACGAACTAGAATCCGTTTCTCGGTCCCATGACACCAAAACCCTAGAGTCACATGGAGGACTTGAAGGCTTAGCCAAGAAAGTCTCCATTTCCTTAAAAGATGGTGTTGTTTCATCACACGTGCCTGTTCGGCAGAGGATCTATGGATGTAATAAATATGCAGAGAAACCTTCCAGATCATTCTGGATGTTTGTTTGGGACGCCCTTCATGATCTGACCCTGGTTATTCTCATGGTATGTGCTGCTGTCTCTATAGGCGTCGGTATTGCTACTGAAGGATGGCCGTCGGGTATGTATGATGGGCTCGGGATTGTCCTTTGCATTTTCCTTGTGGTGCTAGTCACTGCAGTCAGTGACTACCGACAGTCATTGCAGTTCAAGGATTTGGACAAAGAGAAGAAAAATATAATTGTTCAGGTGACTAGAGATGGATGCCGGCAGAAGATTTCAATCTATGATTTGGTGGTAGGAGACATTGTTCATCTATCTATTGGAGACCAGGTTCCGGCTGATGGGGTTCTTATATCTGGTTATAGCTTGTCAATTGATGAGTCAAGCTTATCCGGTGAGAGTGAGCCGGTGGGTATAACCAAAAAGAGGCCTTTTCTTCTCGCCGGAGCTAAAGTCCAGGATGGCTCCGGAAAAATGTTGGTCACTTCCGTTGGGATGAGAACAGAGTGGGGGAGACTGATGGTAACTCTGAGTGAAGATGGTGACGATGAAACGCCATTGCAGGTGAAGCTCAATGGGGTTGCTACTGTCATTGGGAAAATTGGTTTGGCCTTTGCAGTTTTGACATTTTTGGTTCTGACGACGAGGTTTTTAGTTACCAAGGGGATGAAAGGCATGATTGGACAATGGTCAATGGACGATGCCGTGGTGCTGTTGAATTTCTTCGCCATTTCCGTGACCATAATCGTCGTGGCAGTTCCGGAGGGGCTGCCACTGGCGGTGACACTGAGTCTTGCATTTGCGATGAAGAAATTGATGAATGATAAAGCTCTGGTGAGACATCTTTCTGCTTGTGAAACAATGGGTTCTGCTACCTGCATTTGCACGGATAAAACAGGGACATTGACGACCAATCACATGGTCGTTCATAAAATCTGGACATGTGGAGAAACAAGAACAGTTCAAAGCAAAGGAAATCTTGATGAGCTCAAATCCTCTGTTGCTGAAACAGTACTAGACATCCTCCTGCAATCAATTTTTCAGAACACCGGATCAGAGGTGGTCAAAGGAAAAGATGGGAAGAACACCATTTTGGGTTCTCCCACAGAAACAGCGATTTTGGAGTTTGGCCTGAATCTCGGGGGTGACTTCAAAGTTCACCGAAGGGAGTCTGAGATAGTGAAGGTTGAACCTTTTAATTCAGTGAAGAAGAAAATGGCTGTGCTTGTTTCTGTTTCGGACAGGGCCGGATTCAGGGCTTTCTGCAAAGGTGCATCGGAAATCATTCTATCAATGTGCACTAAGATCATGAATTCTGATGGGAAAGTAGTTGCTTTATCCGATGATCAGAGACGGGACATTTCTGGTGTCATCAATGGCTTTGCTGATGAAGCTCTAAGAACTCTCTGTTTGGCTTTTAAAGATGTTAATGACGTTTCTAATTCAGACAGTATTCCTGAAGATAATTGCACACTCATAGCAGTGATCGGAATCAAGGATCCAGTCCGGCCTGGGGTGAAGGAAGCCGTCCAGACTTGTTTAGCTGCTGGGATTACGGTCCGGATGGTCACCGGTGACAACATCAATACTGCTAAAGCCATAGCCAGAGAATGCGGCATTCTGACAGAAGACGGTCTGGCTATTGAAGGGCCCGAAATCCGGAATAAGAGTCCTGAGGAGTTGGTAGCGTTGGTGCCAAGACTGCAGGTCATGGCTCGATCCTTGCCTCTGGATAAGCACACACTGGTTATCCATCTGAGGAAGCATTTCGGGGAAGTGGTAGCGGTCACTGGTGACGGAACCAATGACGCCCCTGCCCTGCACGAGGCTGACATAGGACTCGCCATGGGCATTACCGGAACAGAAGTTGCGAAAGAAAATGCCGACGTTATCATAATGGATGACAACTTCACCACCATTGTGAATGTTGCCAGATGGGGTCGTGCAGTTTATATCAACATACAGAAGTTTGTACAGTTCCAGTTGACAGTTAATATCGTTGCTCTAATTCTCAACTTTGCTTCTGCATGCATTTCAGGTATATTTTCCCCAACTCTTGATTAAACTGTTCAACCTATAAACTTAACTTTTCAGGTCATGATCCGGTCCAAATCACAGATACATCACATACCTTATACTGAAAGTTTATCAGACTAAAATTTTAACTTGGTAATACTTACCTGAATGAAGATGTCTGCTAATCTTGTATGCAAGCGATTCTTCAGGGTCTGCTCCTCTCAAGGCTGTTCAGCTGCTATGGGTGAACATGATCATGGACACTCTTGGTGCATTAGCATTGGCCACAGAACCTCCGCATGAGGGGCTGATGAAAAGGCCTCCTATTGGGAACAATGAGAACTTCATCACCAAGATCATGTGGAGGAATATCCTTGGCCAGAGCATTTATCAGCTGGTCATTCTTGCCATCCTCAACTTCAACGGGAAAAGTCTTCTGAAACTCTCTGGTTCAGATGCTACTGATACTCTTAATACATTCATTTTCAATACCTTTGTGTTCTGCCAGGTAGCCATTCATTCATTCATGATGCCGTTTCTTTGCATTCTTGTAACTCAGAGCAGTTCTGCTAATTTTTTCTGCTGTTCAGGTGTTCAATGAGATAAACAGCAGAGACATGGTGAAGATAAACGTTATCAGAGGGATCTTCGATAGCTGGCTTTTCATGGCGGTGATGGTCTCCACAGTGGCTTTCCAGATCGTGATTGTTGAATTCTTAGGCACTTTTGCAGATACCGTGCCACTCAGTGGAGAATTATGGCTGGCTAGCATTTTAGCTGGAGCAGGAAGCTTGATTATTGCAGCTATCCTAAAGTGCATTCCTATTGGAACCCAAAAAGAAGCTGCTGCCGTAACCAAGAACCACGATGGCTATGAAGCCCTCCCGAGTGGTCCAGATTTGGCTTGAGATTGATTGATTTTGAGTTTCTTGGAGAACCAAATGCACCATCTTGCTGCAACCCAAGACAAGAGTCTTACCAAGTTGTCCTGTTCTTGGATGATCGGCTAAGGAATTGCAATTTTGCTGGGAACCATTTCAAATGATTCATTTAGATTTTGTTCTCTTGTCCTGCCACGTAAATTTCCCTTTAATGATAATAAATGAAGAATCCTGAATCTTAAGGCAACTTAAAACAATCAGAAAATTTTAAACCTGAAATCTGAGGCAATCAAGAGTGAAAACTGTCTTTGGAGCCATGCATAGCCAGAAATCAAAAAAATATTTGAAATCCAAAGGCTATACATATCATTTGCATGCAATGTCTATTTCTCAAGTAAAGGTATTTTAAATAAAAGCAAATGTTGACTCTTAAAACTATCATAAAAGCCATCCAAAGACCTATTATTATGGATTCAATGCCAGATGTGGCGAAAGACAATAAAGGGCAATGAAGGTACAAGGGAAGGAGAGACAGGAGAAGTGGGCATTAGATAGAACAGAACAGAACAATGTTACTCATGGATTCAGCAATAATTCTCTTTGCCAATAAGAAGACTACATGCCTTCAGGCAAACTACAGTTTCATGAGTGTACAAAAGTATTCTTTTTATACAGAAGGAAAATCCTCAAGACTTAGGCATAATTTAAGCCTAAGAAAAGTGGCAATGTTAAAGGAGAATAAACCAACACTAGTTTTCAGTTGTTCTGGGTTGTGAATCTGCATGTCTTCCTACAAACAGCTTGCTGATATCCTCCGTTACCACGTTGCTCCTGTCAAAAGCTCAACTCAGATCAACGATCTTTCTCCAGTATAAAATAGAACTTAATAACCGTTTATGGTATGAAATTTTCATTCTTTTACTAGCACTTCACAAAGGAGGAAAGAAAAGAAAATAGAGTTGACCTTTTGGAAAGCAAATAACTAGAAGTAAACCAATTGGTGGCCTTACCATTTCCTGGTCCTTAAATGCATTCAGAGATAAACATATCTCAGTTACACACAGACTCCCCTGCTTTAAGCTCATACGATTTAATGCAAAAACTTCCAATCAAAGTCACTAAGAGAACTCTAGCAATCGAAGCTACTTCTTCCATATAAATAATTTTATGAGACTGATAAGGTGAATAATGATATAGTACTGAACCAGAGAAGATAGAGGACATAAACAAGAGGGCTGCCTACCATCTGCACTTCCACTTCAATAAAATTGTAAAGAAGATGAAAAAAAATGAAACTTTAATAAAGGGCTTCCTTAACATTGCACAATACTTCATGCCTGCCGTTCTTTCATGACTAAGCAATTGACAATTGGCCTTAAACAAATCAAGTCTGGAATTTTTCCTGCTAGATAATTTTGTCGAGTAGAAAATCATGGGGAGTAGGTTTCTCTCTCTCTCTCTCTCTCTTAAATAGAAGTTGTGGCTAAAACGTGGGTATCTATACGAGTTTGAGAACTATTAAACTTCAGCTCTGGCATATTTGCACTTGCTTATGAGCTAAAATTGAAGCGTAATTCTAGAGCCACAGACTATAGCCAGAAGGGTGTAAAAGACTAACCTTCCACTAAGCTGTGGTGGCACCAGCATGCCACCAACAGTGTCTGGAATGCCCTTGCTATGAGGTAAAGCACCTCTTGGAAGTTTCGGCCGAGGAAGAAGATTCGACTGCAACCCATTTGAGTCTCTCTTCCGTGACGCACTTTCCGCCAGAGCAGCCGCAACTCGAGAGGCATGATCGCTACCACTCACCACGGGAATGGAGGGGGAATTCAGAAGCAGTGAAGCATCAGGAAGTTTCTCAATGCTAGCCGGAGATGAATCTGAACCTTGATTCGTCGATGATCGAGATGCCCTTCAAAGCATAAAAAATCATATCTTTCAACGAGAAAAGATTCCAGAGGCAACTAATTTGAGTTCAACTTGAGCAATTCAACATAGAATGAACAGAACCCTAAGAAATAAGACGAGATGACCGAATACTTACTGGGGATTAGGAGGTAGAAGCGGTTCGTGTTTTAGTGGTGGCGATGGAGGCTGCTCACGGCGTTCCTCTCCGGCCGCCGGTTCGTCGTCGTCGTCCGAGGAAGATGCGTAGTCCACAAGAGACATCTTTGGATTCCCGAACCACCACGCTAGCACCACTCTCCTTCGTTCTCGACTAAAAAGCGACTCAGTCGGTGTTTAAATGCTAACGATGTCGTTTTTCAAGACACTGCTCAGTGCTGAGTCTGCTGACTGCTGGGAGAACGTGGAGATTTTTATTTATGCCCAAGAGTTTTTAACTTCTAACGATTTTACCCTCAACCTTTCTTTCCTAACAATTATACCCAGAACATGTAAAAGTAAAACAATTAATTAACTTGTGTCCCCGGATTTTCAAGACCTCCTGGCATCTCAAACCATCCATCACGTAAGCCCCATATTGAGATCCACATGATAAACGATTTGATGGAGGTCCTGGCTCAGGACTTCCTGATTTTCCATTTTGCCAATTAACTTTACCTTTTCTTTGTTTTCATTTTTTTTTTTTTAAATACAACTCATGAATACAAGAGGAGATGTTAGCTGACCATTTCCGAAATTCCTACCCACCATCTCTAGATTTAAAGTTAAAGTTGTTTATTCCTACTCATTGAGATACCTTATTAGTGATTAAGTTGTAATTAGTTTTACTTTATTTAACTAATTAGACAATAATTAAAAGAAAAAAAAAAAGAAAAGAAGAAAAACTAGTTTACATCAGCTATCTTTGTTGAACAAAACTAGATTGCTCTGATTCATACAAGCTCAAATAAATTCTCGTATCAACATTGAGTACAAGGCATTCAGAATCTATCACTTAAGGAGTTCCCAAAAAGAAGAAGAAGAAGAAAGAAGAGAAGTTTACACGAAAGTCCCTGCATTGTATCTAATCTTGTTCTCCACTCCTGTACTATGGTTCATAAAATTTACATGCGCTGAGAATTTTGCTGATAAAAAAAAAAATGCTGAGAATTGTGTTAAAGGATGGCAGAATCAGCAATCAAGGCTGATAACCAAGAAGGGAAGGTCTGTAGATGACATGAGTTTGTGCAATTTCTATACGATCTTTTGGATCATACATGGCTTCATCCCTTAACGCTTCGAGAATGGCTTGAGGGGGAAACTCCCTGAAGATTGAAATTAAAGGAAAACATTGGTACATACATCCAGGTAACATAAATTGTGACACAAAACAATGGAAACCCCTAAACCAACTATTCTATGATTTGGCATCCTGAACAATTTCTAAGAGACAAAGTCTATTATGTACATAGTTAATTTTATGCAAGCATGAGAGAGCTTTATGATGTAATTGGCATTACTTGACCTAAAAAGGAGAAAGAAAATGAAAGTGGAAAAGGTCATTTACCTTGTTATTAGTATTCTATATAGCATCCTCAGGATGGGGCAAAGCTCCACTGGAGCTACAGGCTTGTTTTCTTCAGGATGCTGGACGCTCAAGCTAGACTGACCAAGTAGCTCATAAAATGCTTTTACAGCAGACACACCCTGTTGAGAATAATGAGATTACAAATAGGAAATAGTTTCATTCTGTTGTAACCTGGTTTAGTACATCATATATCTTTAATTGAACAATGAAGCTGCAGTGCCAGTGCCTAAGAGGTTTGGAAAAGTCATTCTAGAGCTTGACAGCAAGCAGTTGTTTGAACCCACATGATGCATGCATGTACCCACAAGCTTTAACTTTTTAGGCAGAAAATCTAAGTAGGATAGCAGGATGAAGTCATTCTTCCCTCAAAATACCTCAAGTTAAGATCAGTCCTTTTTCTATATGTAACATAGGTAGTTCCACACGATGTTCAAAAATAATGATTCTGAGGAAATCCAAATTCAAAATAATTCACTTCTGTTTTGAGTGAGATCAGTTTAAAAATAATTCAATCTTTATGTAAATCCTGTTTACTACACTAGTTTGAGTGGTCAAGTCTATACCTGAATCATACCCTTTCCCTTGATGCTATCACCCATTTCAAGGCTCAATTCACCTTTAGCCAATTGTTGCCCATACCACGCATTACGACCTTTCAACAGGGTTACATAAGTGTCAGCCAACAAAGGCCCAGCAAGTTTCTCTGGATCTTTTGCCAGGAGATAAGTGATGAATATCATCTCAGATGTACAGTGTGCAAAATATACTGATTTGCTAGTGGCACTCTCATTGGTCAGCGCTGCTACCATTCCTTTAGAATCAAGACAGTGAGTTAAATATACAGGTTAGAGATTGCACCTTATTAGTTTATATGAAACCAAGTAATATCCAACACAAACCAAAATCAGGGGGAAAGGGGAGGGGTGAAGTGCTCCAAATGTTTTTACCCAACTTATTCTATGACACCCTAGTGTCCAGGTTTTACTGACTGACTAGAGACTAAATCTTACCAGCACCAATGGCATAGACGTTCTTCAAGCCACCCATAACTTCATGAGTAACAAGGTCACCATTATCCCACACTATGAAGTGTGGTTGCCTTAGAAATTTTGCTAATGCTTTCCTCCACCTTTCAGCTCCACATATTCGAGCATTAGCATACTCCTTGTTGTAAATCTCTGAGGCAATGTTAGGCCCTCCAAGATAGAGAATATTCTCCATAGGAACTCCGGCTGCAATGCAAAATGAGATTAAGCTTAAGAGGGAATAGGTTTTTTTATTTTTATTTTTTGACCTTCGAGGAAATAGGTAACTTAAGATGGTTTCCATGTCAACAGGAGCTTTATTCCAATGCTTAAATGCCTATTAGGAAATAAAAGGTAGGTGTGGAATACAATTTAGAGTATGGAAGGAAGTCTCAATTTCAAGCATTCTGATAATATTTTATTCCAATGAATCTAATCTGATTGACAATTGAAAATAAATTGATACATAATTAACCACATATAGTCATAGTTCATAAATGATAAGGCTAATCTTCTAGAACTTATGTTAAGGCTTCATATGACTCATAGATACAATAAAACAGTTAACTTTACATATACAAGCAACGCAAAAGAGAAGACGTCTTACTTGCTCGATTGATCATCTGAGTAGGAGTTAATATACGTGGCTCAGGTTTCAACTCAGCTTCTACACCTTTTGCCAGAGAAATGATAACTGGCACCGTAACTCTTTCTTTCCAATACTTACTTATTTCCTCAAACACCTCACGAGTTTCCGTTGACGGCAAGCCATTAATCACAATATCAGCATCCCACACAGCCTCTTGCAAGTTAGTCACAACCTTTAAAGGGCAAAGTGGAGTATCAATCATATTCAAGCAAAACCCATCTTTCAGAATCTCATCAGCAAAAAGTGTCCGATCACCTAATCTTGCCTCAACATACTTCAAGTAGGCACATCGCCGTATCAATCTCCTCAAAATATCTTCCCTAGAATTGATCACTTCAAATAATTGCTGAGCTGTGGCCCTATCAACTGTTCTTCCAGGTCTCCTCCATATCCTTATTAGAACCTTATCTCTTAGGTGACCATAACTATCTTGCAACATAGCACTGAAAACACTACCCCAGGCACCGGCACCTACACCAACAATTCTTAGGGGATCTCCTTCAGCTTTCCCCATAAGTTGCCTAAGCTCATCAAGCTTCTCCTCTAAAGAACTACTTAAGCTCTGAATCAAACCATTTGAATAGACATCTTTGTTCATATCTTCAGCACTTTCTGCCATCTTTTACCCTTGTTTACTCTTCTTCAACTCTTTATAGATTAATACAATCAAACAACAACTAATGCACCCAAATACACAAAACCCTTTGTGGGTGATGATATTCTAAGCTTGAAATTCGAAATACCAGCCTCAAACCACTGATATTCAACCAATCTGCAAAAATTTCAGGGAACCTACAGGAAAAACCCCAGTTAAAATCAGCAAATAGCTCCGATTCCGAACAACATGGCTTTGTCGATGCAACTCACCTAAATCACCGCTGGCAAAAATTTGAATTTTTTTCGTTTCTCGAACGTAACGGAACAGAGTATTACAACTTGGGATTTTGTTATATTTTACCCGCCATCATCAATCAAGAACCCAAAATTTAAAAGATCAATCTGAATACTTTACCACAGAAGTATCGAACAGATGAAGAAAATGGAAAACAAGAAGGGAAAGCGAAAGAACCTTTTTAAGTCGTCTTCTTCAACCTCGTTGGCACCAATTTGGCAAAAGTAGCAAGACAAAATGCATGATGATTATAAAAGCCACAGAGTAGCTCAAATGAGATGAAATGGAGAAATGAGTTTGAGCTGAAAGTAACAGAAAGTTGAAACTTGCAAGACAATAGGAAAGGATTGAGCTTTAACACAACGCAAGCTCTGCAGTGGCATATGGTTCGCAATGGTGTTGGATTGGCGGCCCCTTTCTAGAAGTAACCGTTTAATGATGTCACATATCCGAAGGATTTTTCTGTTTTTAAGTTTCAGGGTGTCCGCATATGCCAAGAATTTTCCTTTTCTGAAGGTAGGGTTTCAGGACAGGTCCGGTTCCTCTCCAGTTGGGTCGGACCCGTCAGTGGTGGACTTAATGCTTCTTTTTTCACTGTCACTGGAACCCATCACCCAACTCCTCCTCCATTATCTAATGATAGGCCTGGGATGGGCCTAAGATCAGAAGCCATTTTTCCCTATTGCTTTTGACGCCCAGACCCAGTCGCTCTTTAGTGATTGAAAAGGGTGGAATTTTTCTCTTATATATGGCACAATCTTAGTTAATCCGGAAAGGGGAAGTTCATGGGATATTGTTGGACTTGGCTCTTCCACTTCTGTAGGGGCAATTCTGTTCATTGCTGTTGGAATTATTGCTAGAAACGTGCCATTCAAATCTGCAGAAATAATGAATTGAAACTGCCATGAAATGGCAGCAATGAGGCTGAAAATTGACAGCAAATGAAGCTGCAATTTTCAGCAAATATGGCAGCAATTTAGCTGCGAATATGAGGGAAATGAAGCTGTCAAATGAACAGCAAAAATGTGCAGCAAGCTAAGCTGCAAATGTTGATGAAATGACGCTGCCATGAACAGAAAATTAAATACAAATGCAAATGCAAATGAAAGGCTGCAAAGAGGCTGCAGAGCTGCCAAGAGGCAGCAGAGCTGCAAAGAGGCTGCAAAGGACGCAAGCATGCAGCAGCAAAAGTGGCTGTTACTCATTTCAAAATTCAAATGTATATTTATTGTTTTTTAATGTAAAATAGTTGTTTGAATTTTGAATTGTTTAAAAATTATATTCTCCTATAAAAATTGTAAAATAGAGGCAGAAGAGTTTGTTAATGAAAAAATCGAGTTGGAGTGATATACTCCTCTCCATTTTATGTGTTCTGCTCTTCATCTTCTTCTCCCGGAATTCTCTCCATCCCTGTTGAATGCCCTTTATGCAAGTCTAAGCATAGTGGAAAAGGGACAGGCTCTTCACCTCAATGTTACTCGTGCTTAATCTGTTTTGGTTATTTTAAAATATTTTAGCAGTTTTATCCTTTACTGGATTTTGTTTTTGGTAATCTACTCTGCTGGATGATGGGAGTAATGTTTCGTAATTCCCGAAATCTCAATAAGGTTAGCTACTGTTTTTCTTGATCTTGCCAAATTTGTTACCATTGTCTTCAGAGATTCTGATAGATTATGACCCTAGACTGTGACGCAAGGGTGTCAGTTAAAAACATATTGAAAGTTAATTTTGCAATTAGTCTGGGTCTTCATGTGATTGGTAGCTGAAAGAGGTTTTCTTTTCTCATTGTTCATGAGAAGGGAAAGGGTCAAGCTCGAGCATGATTTATTTACTCTAGCCAGTGCAAAGCATGTTAGCTTGCAGCCAAATCATTTTGATTGATGTTTGGTTAACGTCAGGAAGTTGGGTCTCTATGTGAGCAAATTCTTTATAGAAAGCTACTTCTTTGTTTCTATAAAAGAAATATAGACAATCTAGGAAATATTGTTCTCTTTGATGTGATGACCTCTTTCTTGGGATGGGTGTGTGCTGGTTTTAAAGTGCTTCATGCATCAAAAGAACCATTAAAAACTGTGGTGGAGCGGAATAGAGAGATCTTGTGATAACTGCTAGTGAGTCATCCTTGGGAAAGTATTATGATTTATGCAGTCCCAAGTTTGATCATCTTTCCATTTGTTAATGGAGAAAGGCATGTAAGTTGATCATTTAGTTTTGCATCTCCACGTATGGAAACAAGGAAGTTAAAATGAAGCCGGAAAAGAGGGGAGTATCTTTCTGGAAGAATTCGATCCGCTGGATTTCCAGGATGAAAGGATGAGGACATTATGCTGAGGATAGGAATAGATACCCTTGTAATTGCATTTGGAAGCTATATTGGATTGTTTTCAGAGATTTATGCTTCCTATTGTCATTTGACTGGCAACATTTTTCCTTCCGACTGTCCTTTGTAACTTTAGTAATACGATAGGGAATGGCCATGTTACAGTTGATTGGTTGACATGTAGAATTGTCTTTGTGCTGGATACACCAAGGTGCTGAACAATGTTGTTGGTGCATTAATAAGGTTGTAAAATGAGTTGATTTTTTTTGTTACAACTGCGTCCTTGTAGTAGGGGACCTTTGCAGGCGTAATTTTGAGGGTATGTTATATCAAATGGATGATTTTTTCATATCTTCCTAGTTGATATGTGTATGAAGAATATCAAGTTATGTTATATGTTTGTAGAATATGTAAGAACGCTTAGATGAAATTGGATGAATTTCTCTGTATTTTTCTTAGAAATTAAGAGGAGAATTAGGAAATAAATACTGTCACTATTTTTCATATCATGAGTTTTTTCCCATACTGTCAATACCATGGTAGGGCAATGTGGCACTAGTGGAATATTTGATTTGAAGTGCTTTTGAAAGTAAATGATTTTCCCTTTCTTCCTATCACATGCTTTTCCAACAGCTTGTGGAACTGTAGCCACTAGCCAGAAAAGCACCATCAGATTTAGCATTTTTAGCGCAGGACAATACTAAGGTACATGTACTTGATTTCTCTTTTCTTTTAAATTTAAGTTGACTTGCAAAATAACTGATATGAATTAAGTTCTTTTGTTGATGCAAATTGATGCGTGTTTTGCATATGAAAAACCTTTCTAGATCCTAATCTAAGTTCTTTGGATCATTTTTTGCATAAAATATGTAAATAGTAATAACACATGGCTTGTGGCATAAATAATTCAAACCTTTATGGGTTTATCAACTCTTATGCTGTGTACATTCTAATTAATTGTCAATCACACTCTTATGACATTCATATTCTAATTATTGTCAATCGCTGTTCTCTGGAATATTCTCAACTAGAGGCTCTTGCTATTTCTTAGGAAACTGTAGATCTCTTTGTTATGTGCTAACTGTATTCTAGTGAGTGTCACTGGTAGTTCTGACTGGTTTTAAAAACAGAGGCATATATTCTGAAATCACTACATTTTGGAATCATGGAGGTGGCCACTTTTGTCACTCAACCATTCACTTTAGAGATATGTGGTTCGGTGGCTCAACAGAGGATCAACTATGTCAACTATTGCCCAATGTTTCTGACATACAAATGCCAGAATCTCCCAAACAGCAACAGTTGTTCTTTTTAGCTTGCTTTGTGCATAGATCTTTTCCTTTTTGGTGATGTGAGATGAAAAGGAAGTTGGATTAAACAGGAAAGATCCACTGAGTTGCTTGTGTTGGGTTGCAAGATGAAAGGGATAACAACAGAAATCATAGAAATTAAAGAGTTAGCTTGAGTTCAGGAACTTTCAAGAGCTTGTCCTAGTTTTTGAGAACCGTGAAAAAATGAATTCGAATTTAGAATCAAGCAAGAAAGTTCTGTCAGTTCTGTGTATTCCATTATATGGTTTAATTTTTTATACTCTAGAGTTTGAACAGAAAGGAATAAGTGGAGAAAAAGGGAAGTGACAAACCTTAGAGACAGGGGAAGTAGATCTAGAAAGTAAGCCATTTTGGTTTAGTGCTTTGTAAGTTCTGCATTTGAAATAAGTCATGTGAGCACCTCCCAACCCTCCTGTTTTTTCCTTTATTTTTTCTTTTTTGAGATAAAACTTTCCTTAAAATATCTTTTTATCATTTTTCCCATTTATATCAAGTTGCTAGCTGGTAAACATCATCCATTGCTTAAAAATCAAGTGAGGGGTCATCATTCTTTATGGTATGTTTGGATGAATACTTACCCAAAATCTTATTTTCACAATCTTTACTTCCCCTTGACTTTCTACATGTATTCTGATGTGGGTCCTTGCTTCAGTTCTGACATGTTGGTTTCTGATTGCACCTGGTAAAGATCAAGATGCAATACGTAATTATTAGGGCTTGTTAGTACACTAATTTAGAAGTTGAATCCATCTTTTGATGGGGATTATCATGACCACACTTTTGTGTATACCGTAAGAATGAAGAGAACATGATTTTTTCTGATCAGCAAGAGGACAGGACTTGGCGAATGCTAGAGTGTTACTTCATCTTTTCTAGGTCCACTTTGGGAGAAGTTACTATTGAAGTCTCCACTTTTTTCTACAATGTGGTGTGGTATTTCCAGATGCTAAGCCAGAAAATAATATGGTAAGATGGTTAACAGAACTTTTTCTTGTTACTTTTGTTCATCTCATCACAGTTTTATATGGTATAGTGTCACTGCTAATAGTCCCATTCCTTGGTTTCGGGGTGTGTTGACCTTAAAAACAGAATTTCACTTGAATTTTCATATACAGAAATCTTCATTATTAAAGGCCTTCATGAGTCATTGCATTCTGGTTTCCTTCTTTTCTTTTTCTCTTCTCTATTCTTTTTTCAGTGTAGTAGAATCTGGACCCTCGTTTCTTTGCTGTATGTGTCATGTTTGTGTGCATAAGTTATCAATATATCATATTTTGTTTCAGGAATCTGAGTAATTACTTCTGAGAAAAATAAGTAGAACTGAGCTACCAAAGTTAATATTTACATCTTCTTTAGGGCACTGTATTTTTCCGGTGCCTTTTACAAATTTAATAAATAATTCATATAACCTATTTTTTCTGACCTTATGCAGTCATGCCTGCCCATTGCTTGCAATATATATAGGAAGACACATAAATAGTCATCATTTTGCAGCATGTGTGCCTGAAAAGCATTTTTCTGTATGCTTTGAGGACCATTTGTTTAGGAGAAAATATTTCTTGGGTGTTATTGTGCATAAGACATCTCCTTTTGAAATATTCTTTGGCCAGGAGCAAGTATTGCCAAAGGGTCATAGGTGGATTTTCTCTGGACAAAAACTTCCCATCGTGGGCCAAAGTGAGCTTGCCATTCTTCTTCTGTAGTGTAGTGGGGCAGGTATTGCTTTACCCCAAGACTGCCTACCTCACAGAATTCTAAAATTTTTTTGTTCTGAGTTAAGATGTGGTCTAATCCATCAGTCCCTGTGGAAGAAGGCACTGCAGAGGAAAGGAATGCCACTAAATAGAAAATATCTTCATCTGGAATGACAACAGAAGTTCTATTGTCCCATCTGAAATCAAGATTATTTTAAACATGTCAAAACAAGGACAAAACAGAAACTCGAGAAATCAAGGGATGAATCACAGAATTTGTGAGATTGTTACTTTGATTTGTTAATTGGGTAGATGAGGATGGGGCCATTGCTTGTATCTGTAAGTATATTGCCAAAGACTTCTTCAGCGAAGCTGTGTATTCTGCTTTTGGGGATGAGAAGATTAAGCCATGGGTGTGGAACTTCCCACAAGCCTTTTGACCGCAGTTTGATCTCAGAAAGATGAACTCTGTCCAAAAACTCAATGTATGGAACTTCTGATAGAAAAAGTGTTGAAGAGATATAGTTTAACTGTGATAATGAATTCCTGATATCCTGCATGGGAAAGAAGTAAATGAGTGATTTTTTTTTTTTCTTTTAATACATGCATGCATACCTACATATAAGTTTTTATTTAATTAATTTAATATATTTAAGAAGTCATACCTGATTTACTACCTCTACATCTTCTGGGTTGAAATACTTGGCCAATTCTAGGCAGAAGAGTGTTCTTCCATCTGATTTGAACTGGCTAGCTTGTACTGGATCCTGTGGATTGAAGGATGATCTCCAGTTATTAAGGAGACCTGTCCTGTTTATTATTACAAAGCCTTCTATGTAGTCGAATGCGTTTTCTGCAGATATTAGTTTTTCTTGGTCCCTAGCAAATGTGGTGAAATCTGTATATAGCACTCTAATCCATTTCACCTGTTCAAGAGGTAGACTTGGTTAAAAATATAAGTACAGTTTCGGGTGAGCTGAACTCTCAATGTTGAAATTGTCTTTTAGCTTGATGATTGCTGTTTTTACCATTTCAGGTGCCGCTTCCAGTGATATTCTCACCCTTGTAATGATGCCAAACTGCCCAAGTCCTCCAAGAACGCTATAGAAAAGATCACTGTTCTGATTCTCTGAGCAAGTCACGACCTCCCCTTTCCCTGCACTCAATCACAATCCACATTCAGTAGGTGTGCCGTGCATGTCACTTCTTTGTATCCTTTTGAAAATAGATCTATAACCAAAATTCTAAGCATCTTTTATGAAATATGGGTGAAGTCACAACATGCATTATGAGAAAATCTAGTATCCTATTATTTTAGTTTCAAATGAACATTCAGATCAAACAAGACACATCAGTAGCTACTTTGTAAGTCAATAGTTTGTCCTTGACTTATTTAATGTATATCTGAAATGCCAATCACTAATTTGATGCTGAATTTTTTCGCTGTATAATAATCTCGGGTTTACTTAACAAACCTGTGACGACTTCGAGCTGGTAGACATTACTGATCTGTGGTCCGTGCCGGAATGCTTGCCCACTTATCCCAGCATTGGACAGAGTGCCACCTACAGTTAAATGTAGGTAGTCTGTCCAAGATTTTGGCGCTAACCCATATTTCAGGCTTTCATGCAGGATGTTTATCCATAGCTCACCACCAGAGACATCCACATATGGGAAGTTCCCAGTGTGAACATGCATTTTTGGGCCCTGAAGTGATTCCATGTTGATGACAACTCCTTGTTGGGCTTGTGCTTGGCCCTGGAGAGAGTGGCCATGGCCTCTGGCTGCAACTGTGAGTTCTGAACGGGGACCCATCTGCCAAATATGCTTCACTGTAGTGGCAATATCAGATACTGACTTGGGGTGTAGCACTGCCAAAGGAAGGAATTGGTACCTATTTCCAAAATCCCTGGCTGCATGCTGAACCTCATCAAAATCAAAATGCCCATTCAGGTCAAGTGTTTTCAATGAAGAAGGAATGCTAGAGAAGCAGAGGTTTATTCTAACAGTCACGCAGGTCAGAAACAAGATCATGAAGGTTCTTAAGAAAAGCTTGTTTAGAGGTGCGTATCTCATATCTTTCACTTCTTTCTTCCCTTTTAGGAGGGATGAATGGCTTTTGGTCTTGTATTTGTTGGTTTTGTGTGACTTGCAAGCAAAAGCAGAAGGAGGGATATACAGAGCCAGGGAAAAGAAGAGTTGAGGAGAGAATATAAAGGAAAAGATTTAGGTGGCTGAGTCACCCTGTCTTCAGTTGTGAGAATCCGTATGTAGACTGTCTTCTTGGGTGGGAGAGTTTTAGGATTTTCTTTCAGTTCTTCTTTTTGGGCCCTTGTGTTTATAACGTTAGAGAAGCCATCACACATAAGCCAAGTTGAAGAAAAAGAAGTCATAGCTCACAAGAAAGAAAGATTTCAGAGATCTTTGCACTTTTTCTAACAGTTCCAACCACAATCACATCTTTTCCACCAAATACAATTATGTTTCAAAAATTTTCCATTAACCATGTTTAGCAAAATTTTATCCCATTTTAGAAAGAAAAGGAGGGAGTGTTTTTGCCTATGTATGAAACCTTCTCTGCCTCTTAATGTCAGGTATGCCCATGGCCCCTTCATACTCCCTGAGTGATGAATAAATCTGCCTGAATCTATTGCTGTCGGAACTTTGACGTGGCCTATCTTCTTTCAGATTGGATAAGAGGGACCATTGATGTGGCGTCAGTTCATCTGAGAGATATGGTTGAGTAGGGTTCGTGAGGGTCCATATGACATGTGAAATTCAACTTAATGTGTGCTTTTGTGGAGGGAGATCTATGATCGGTTGTGTTGGGAACCCTTTGAGATAAGGATTTCGAGCAATGAAGCAGGGAATCGTTAACTTTGGGAAAGCACAGAAAGATCCTTTCTTTTGTCTCTGCTGTTCATTGTTCTGAAGCCTATAGAACCCGGCAGCTGGACAAAGTCTGAAATGATTCCTCTGTTTATTTGTTTTAGAATGTGATTGTGTTATGGTGCTGCAATTATTGTTTCTCCCATTTCTGGAACAAGATTTGATCCAGACGTTAGTGGGGGATTTGTAGCTCCTAATCCAAGCAATATCTCATCATCCGTCGTCTTTGCCTTGTGTAATTTAATGGATACATGTGCATTTTCTTTCTCATTATACACAGGAAAGATTAAACAATGATGAAAATATGTTCGTTTCTTGTCTCCCCCTAACGATGGTTAAACAGTGGGGAAAACCTCCTACACGTAACATAAGATCTTTAACTTAAAATTAATTGCTAGGTTCTTTCTAGAGCACCGAGGAGAATGGTATTCTTGGTATGTTTGGGGTGTTATGGTCTGTCTGGCTAAGGAGAAGTGCTCACTTGCAGGAAAAGTGTTGCTAGGGAAAGTACTTACTTTGGAAAGTTACATTTTTTGTTTTTCGGTTTTTGTTTTTCTGTCTTTTTTTTTTTTTTTTTTTTTTTTGTGTGTGTAAGATTTATGTTTTTTGTCTGTTTAAGTGTTTTACCATTCAATTATAAAATACTAACTAATAGATTAAAAAAAGTCTTTTGATAATTAAGGACTGTCTTTTCATCTAATGATTAGTGTTTTGCAATTTGATAATATTTAAATCATAAAATGCCAATTTCTTTTAAGAAAGTAAAAAAGAAAAAAAATTTATGTTAAAGTCATTACTTATAATCATGTTTAATTTGTATTTTGATAAAATAAAAAAACTTTTGTGACTTGACAACTAGTAGCGAAGTGAGACACTTTACTTTAATCAAGCACTCATTGAAAGTGAAGGTTTTTTTTTCTAGTATTATAGGTTGCGGAAAATCTCATATTTGAAGATACTAGTTTGAATATGTAGTCCTTCATCTATGGTAATTCTTTACCAAGACACTTACAGTTAGAAAGTGGATTATTCTTCCTATTTTGACATCAACATCTACCAATGAGTCTACCAATGAGTATTTGAACTAAAACCCTATTCATCTTTAAGATAAAACTAGAACAAAACATTAAGATTAAACAATTTGATATGTGTATTGCACTCATTACCTCTAATTCTTTGTTATGTTGTCAAAGAAAGAAGTTGGACCAATATTTTATTGTGAAAGAAAGAATAGTCCTCATTTTGTGGGGGAAAAACCTAATCCCTTTCTTAATTATAATGTTCTCTAGAAAGAGACCGACCACTAATAAAGATATTCAATGCAATATAAAGAGAAGGAGAGGTAATGATTTTGTGGGGAGCACCATCTTGGAAGCACCCTGCGTGGGCCTCTCTTGTCCGTTGATCCTCCTGTCGTGGAATGCAAAATGGCAAAAGTCCCTTTTGTAATCAAAGGAACAATTGTCATCAAGGAGATTAAAGGGGCAGCGAGGGTTGGCTCCCATGGGGAGCATTAATCCCCATGTTCATCGCCTACACATAAAATCATCAACCCTAGAAATGACACGATTGCTGCCAAATCAGCATCCTCTCGACCATTCCATTGGTCATCTGAGACCGAAGGCCGGCCAATGGTGGCTTGAAAGCTCAACAAGAGTGATGAGGATGTGCCACTAGGCAAAAGGCGACAAGCAAGATCGCCACGTTGCATTTCAGCCACATCGTCATGTCGTTTTAGACTAAAGAATATGATTAGAAGGGTTGGTAGGGTACAAATTTGATTTAGGATGCTCAAATAACCATAGGAGAATTTGCACTTGGCCCTTCAGGCCAAGCGGCCTTAGGGCTGCTTTGTAGTGCATTTCCCCCCTCCCCCATGGTGGGTTCGATACCCACCCTTGTAAACTTGGTCAAAAAAAAAAAAAAACCATAGGAGAATTTTAAAATAAATTATATTATATGCTTATCATTCTCCCTATCCCACTTTTTATTCCACTTTAATTAATGTCTCGTTTCCCATCCTTGAACTTAAAATTAAAAGATAATACAACGTGTTAACTATTCATTCTTTATTCTCATTTTACCTTTTTTATTAAGTTATCTAAAATTAACTCTTTAGTTGACCCAAAAAAATTAAGAAAATTAATTAATTCCCAAAGTCATTATATATTTAATTATATCATGCATGTATATATATATATATTGCACATTGTGTATGCAAAACCATCACTGAAGAAACCCCAAAAAGATAGTAGATCTCATTAGCCCATTTTGGGCTTGCTGCCAAATGATTTTTTCCTATGTTTTTTTACACTTATTTTAGTGAATAGTTTGTCTCAAAAGTTAGGAAAAGGTGCGTTTTGGCTGAACTTTTGGGGTGTTCAAAGTGAGGAAGCTGAACCGTCCAGCATCAACAACATTGATTAATTACTTAGCACATATGGTTTTGTAGTAAATCCTTCATTCATAGGGTAATGATTTCCAAATGAAGTCGTGTGTAACGTCTTGAAGTAACGTTTGTTCCTTCTTTTGTATAATAATTGGTAGGGATTATAACTCACCGTGTCAAGCATGTGTTCACACAAGGATCCAATTCAACCCCACCAATTATTGTTCCGAGGCCAAAAAATAAAAATAAATAAATAAATAAAGAAAAATAACTCCACCAAGTTGTTTTTCACTGTATTAAGTTAGGTTTTACGCACTCAAATATGTCTGGTGGATTAAGAGACACTAGAAGTCGATATTTTTGTTTTTGATATGTGGCTATGTTAATGTGACATTTCAAATCTCACATCAAAAAAACAGTATAAGTGAATTTGATATACACACAATTAACCAACTATTACTAATAATAAGTTGAAATTAAACTTTTAAAGGCTAGTGAAGAGTTGTTAGTATAGTAATAAAATTCGATCACCTTTGACCTTAATTCTAGAATTGAACTTTTTGAAATTAGTGGATATATGAATGGCTTATCTCTTGAATCTAATCATAGATGACATTAATAAAAATGGTTTTTGCTCTAAATGGTATGATTAATTGGCTAATTTGGTGCATTTTTTTTTTTTATTACATGGTATAAGAAAGAGGACTAAGGAGTGGTTCATATGTACTTCATAGTGATTGGAGAAGAAAGGTTTAGTGGGAGTATATATCTTCGGCCATTACATCAGTACTTTCAAAGAAAGTCTATAAAGGGGTAGCTAGATAGTTCTTCAAGTGCAGCATGCCCCATCTAAAAGTTGAAATGGAATCTTCAGAATTTGAAAAAGAAATCCATGAGAAGGAAACAAAGAAAGAAAATTGTAAGTGATGAATGGATTCTATACATCCCATGTGCGCACTGACTCTTCTTTTCTTCTCCTCTATTTTGCTTCTAAATTTTAGTCAATTTATGGCATATAATATAATGATTTAAAGAAAAAGTTTTAAGTGGAAACTATAGATTTTGCACTCCTTTTCATCTCCATCACATAATAATGCAACTTCTCACTAAAGTCCCAAGACAAGTCACATTTGGAAAGAAACAATATCACATAATGTTGCCATTGTCAACACAAGCTATATATGATTAAGTACTTGTAAGTTGTAACTTAAACATGAATCAAAGGGCAAAAATATGGGAGTTAGATATATATGGATCTAAGTACAATTTTCCAAGTGAAGAGATCATCCATTTATCCTTGTTTAGGGTTTAGTTTAAAATGACTATAGATAGATGTGTTTGAGATTGTGGTTTGGAGTTTTTTCTTATAATTATATAGTGTTTTTGGATATGTATGTATTTGGTAATTTTTTTAAACTACTTTTTTCAAAAATTGTAAAAAGTTATAGTAAATTTATAATAATTTTATATATAAAATCATAAATCTTATTTTAGAGTTTCTTAGCTGTAAATTTATAGATAACACTTAATATTTAATATAATTACAAAACTACTCATTAAAACTTAATCTCATTTACTTCAATTACATCATAATTTATAATATTTTATTTAAACTTAATTTCTCATTTATTTGAAAATTTCATAAAAAAAATTAAAAACTCAGTTACTTTCCCACAAAACCAAATAAGACAGTGAAAAATCTAAAAAACCTAAATTATTAAGAAGTAGTAAATATTATCTATTTTAGTAATTATACATCATATAATATTTTTAAAATTTTAATTAATAATTAATAAAGTATACCATATTCCCTCATAATATCTTTAAAAAATAAATAAACAAATATTAAAATAACTTTCAGTTATACTTACAATACAATACAATTCAATACAATCACAACTATAGTCCATCAAAGCAAATCTTAAACACAATCTATATGAGTAAACACTAATTATCTAGCTGATGCTAATTATTGGAATTTGAAGGGTATAAACAGTTCATTAAAAATGCAGCCTAGAGGGTTTTGAGTATTAGGCTGAACCATGTAATACGTACATCACAAGAATTCAACAAGCATATACCAAACCCATGATTTGTACTTGACTCTTGACTAGAATGTCCAAATCAAGACAACCAATTTTCGGAATGTCGTCATTTTCTAACTAATGTGAGAATGATTCCCACAAGTTTCAAACATTGAACATTGTCTTAAATACTTATCATCTTCTAACTCAGAATGTTCTTTGAACAGAAAAAAAAAAGAAAAAGAAAAATTGGAATGACTTTGGAAAGCAATTTGGTTCCTTCAAACCACCTCTATATCCATCAAAATCTAAGTCACATTAGTCAATTTTCATATTTTTTAAAATGTTTTGTTCGTCGGCCACACATACTGTTTTTGCAGGAAATCCATGTGCTGCATACAGATTGGCTAATGGTTAGGTCTAGGTCCAATGTCCAATGTTGAGCGGAATATTGAGGACCTCTTGACAAGTACTACTTTGGTGGTAGACAACTTCGTTTTCACTAAAGTGGTGTAGTCTAGAAAATTTTAATTATGGGATTTTGAAAATCTAGACACTCCTTTGGTGATATATTGTCACGCGTATCCTATTAGTGAAAGGGATGTTTCTCCATTTAGCTTGTTTAACTTGTTAAGGTGATTAAGAAATATCGATAGAATTTTTTATTTAAATTATTTTTTTATCATGATTAAATATGAAATTGAATTAAAAAATTATATATTAATTATTTGTTGTTACTGTAATATTTAATCTATTAATTACTAAATGAAAAGTCTTGAAACCATCTTCGTGTGATGATCAAAGGCTAACAAAGATCAATTTGTTTCTTGTGTTAGTGCCTCTAGTGTGAACCTTCATTTGAAGGTGGGAAAGTTTTCAAATACTTCTGGATGGACATAGGCCTAGTGATAATATGACAAAGGCCCATTCAGCCCTCCATTTTGAGGCTGTAAATTGTGGCTTTGGAGCCTGGGACCTCTTCCAGTTATTGGATATGGAAACTGGGCTTGAATTTGTAGGAAGTAGGATAGGCTTTATTGCATAGCCGTAGAAAAGAATGGTTATTTAGGATAGAATAGAAACTCAAAAGGAGCTCTGAACTTTCTGTTCAGTTTTTTTGCTGCCCAACGTTTCCTGTTTCTTTGTATATTGAAGATATATTTTTGCTGAAGTACTGAAATAGCCAATCACCAATGCAGGAGATTGTGAAGGAAAGTTGAATGTGTGTAACATCAGATAGCAAAATGTGTCCCTCACGTCATGAAGATGTTGGGAAGCCATGTTTTGAAGTAAGGATTCTGTATTTGAAAAGTTATTTTCTTTGTTCTGCAACTATGGAATCAGAGTCTCTTAAATTCAGTCAATTTGCCTGTCCATTTTATTCCTAGTTACAGACTAACATATATCTAAAGTAGAAACCAACACACTAACATGTCCCTCTTCTGGCATCCAGTGACTGGCAATCACCCGAAGGTGTTTTGCTGATCCCGATAAGGCAACGGGCAATCTGAGTTCAAGGTGAGGTCCTTCAGAGTCCGGCTTGATTTTACAGGACCTGGCGGGCCATTTAGGCCCTTCAGCCGTGGAGAGCTCGGCTGGAAAGCCCTGCCCATCCGGTAATTGCTTGGGACTTCAGTTGTGACAGAAGATATAAGAGAGAGCTTATTCTTATAGGGAGAGTAGCTTTCAGAGTGAGTGTCATAACTTCCTGGCCTCAGCTTTGGTGAGCTCAGTGATCTTACCTTTGCCTTGGCAGATTCTGTTGCAACCATGTAAGTTGGAACAACAGGAGAGGCAGGGAAGGAATTGTCCTCCCCCAGTGAACACTGCTTTCTGTGATGGAATGATCTTCGTGGAATGAATACAGGAGACTGCAGCTCTTCACCAGGATATTGTCTCCGAAAAGTCCTCAGTTTCAAGTGTTTTGCTCTGTCCTCCACTGCAGGCTTTGGATTTGAAGTCCAAACTGAGTCTAAAACTTCAAGTTCTTTGCTTCTAGCAACTTGGGTATCCACCCAGTTATCCAACCAGTACTTCCATCTCCCATTACCCTTGTTCAGTTCACATTCTGCTGACTTCTGCAATATTTTACCAAAACTCCTAATAAAAATTCACCTGGGCAAAAGAAAATCTCAAAAGGAAACATTTCAATCAAAGAAGAAAGAAGCTTTACTCGATGAGTATATGCATATTCCTTTATCCTTTCTCTCTTGATTGCAGCTTCTTTCTTGCTTAAAACCATGGCTTCTGCCTCTTTCTTTGTCAGAGTGCTATCATCCCATCTTTTCTGACTGTTTGTATCAACCTGAAATTTTGAACAATTTTTCCCAATGCAATTATATCAATTTTCAAATTGCATAGAGAAAAAGAACTTTACAAGATCATCATCCTGCAGTTACCTTTATGATCTTGTCTTTAAATGTCTGTGGAAGCTGTTTGTTTTCATCAAAATGAGATGCAGTTTCTGCAATCTGGAATCTCCTTGCACAAACCTGTGACTGTATATTTACCATGGACTGCAAGCATTTTAGGGTAGTCATGGCTTGGCATCTAACAACTCGGCCTCTGATGATTGCTTGAAGCTTCACTATCCCCTTCAATGCCCTCAAAGCTTTCCTAGCCTGCAATATTCTCCTTTAGAACTTAGAAAACCATCATTGGGCTAAAGAATGGAGCAATTTATGTTCTTCAAACTTAGCATGGTTTGATTATCACCAACTTCCAAAGTGAAACCCAACATCTATTTCCTGTTCTATTTCAAGTAATTTCAATGAAGAATCATCAGCAACTGCTGATTACAAAAGGATGTTTAACCTACCCTACAATGCTATCCCCCTTTTAGAACTTAAAATCCAAGTCAAGCTATAGAATGGGACAATGTTTGTCCAACTTAGGAAGATTTGATCAACGGCCACTTTTTCTACATTGAAGCCTATGATCTATTTCAAGTAATTTCAATGAAGAATCACACAGCAACTGCTAATAACAATGAAGCTCATTAGAGATGACGGGAAAGAGCTGAAAGAAACTTACAAGGTAGCCTCTAAAGGCACTCTGAATTTTAATGACAGCTAGTTCTTGGATCCTCCTCTCATATGCAACGGTACATTTAGGGGAATCTGCTTGAATGTCAACTGTGTATGCTTCTCTTTCTTCTTGGCATTTTCGGGTTGATTGAGGAGTACTAGTGAGCCGGACAACCTCAGCTGCAGCATGAGCTGCTGCAACAGCTGCTTCAGCTGCAGCAGCTGTGGCCAGAGCCACAGTCAAAGCATGCCTGCCCTGTTCTTCCTCTGGTTCATTTAGTGTTCTGTCTCTTGGTGGTGATGGTGCTGCAATGGAAGGTAACCTTTTGACCTTAGCCCTTCCAAACATCCATTTCCCTCTCTTCTCCTTCTGATATTCAAATGTAATGGTTGTAACATACATTTATACTACAATGAAAGTAGGAAGCATTGTAAAGTGAAGAACTGAATACCTTTTCTGTTTTTGAATATGTCTCCAAGAGAAAAAACCCCTTCAATAGATTGAGCCAGCTCTTCATCTTACCCATTGAAGAACCATCACTTGCACAGATTCTCCAGTAATTCTGAATCTTTACAGTTTTGTAGCTCGTGCTACTGAATTTCTGGTGATTTTATATGAGCATACATTCCTGAAAACATCAGAAGTGAAAATGAAAGATATATATTTATATAGGGAGAAAACCCAAATCAAATAGATCAGACATGAAGCAAACTAGTCATTAAGAAAATCCAAGGTGCAGATAACAAAAATCCAAAGGGTCAGGAAGGTCGGTGTTCTGGGAAGAAGGAAAATGAAGGATTTTGAAAGAAGCACAATGTATTAAGCCATTCATCAGAAGTCAAAGTTCAAGAGATACAGTAATTGAGGTGCCATGAGCTTATAACCCACATAGAAATTGAAGAAAAAGTGCTCTAATTTGCTTACCCAGTTCATAGAATCTTGTGATGAATTTAGTGAATCAAAACATAAATCACCATTTCATAAAGCTTGGTTCTTGGGAACTTGAATTTTGTGAGACTGAGATGGGGATATAAGTAGGATTTTTCAGATCAGCTCCATGTTTACCAAACCAAATCCCAAGAAAAAAAAAGTGACAGTGAATAAGGAATTTTCACCTGATAATAACTGAAGGAAAGCCAGAATTCTCCTCGAAAACTGAAACCAAAAACACCCAAAATTCATGGGCAGATGGCAAGCATTTGGCACCTTTCACTTTCTTATCTGTTCAAAGGCACAAACTTCTCATCTTTAACGTGATGAGTTTCATCTACTGAGAGATGTGGGCCTTCCAAGGCATGCAATGTGCAGAAAAAGGAAGGTAGATATGTATTGTTCATGGGGGAGCCCCTTCATGAATTATATAAAGAAAAAAAAAAAAGTCCTGTTTGAGGCTACATGAATCATGGGGTCAGCTTTTCCAACTCTCCACTTTTCTCAATTGTAACTGACATTTGAACATGTCTGTTGGGATTGGAATTACTCAACTACCCTTTAATGATTTTCCAGTGAGGAGCATATAGGATCAAGAAACGTCCTTGTTGAGCCAATTTTTAGTGCAAACCTGAGTACTATCTAGCCTGGTTGGATTGAACCAGCAAGTTTTCTGAAAAACCCTCCATTTTGGGTATATAAAATGGGACTAGAATGAGGTAATGGTTATGGTTTTCTACTGAAATTGGCGTTGTACTAGAAGGGGACCAATTTTTACCCACTGGCTGAAAAATTTATGAGTAAGGGCTTTGATATTCTAAATTTGTGATTCATAAATCTATACAGATATAAATATGAACCCTTTGTTGCCTTCAAGGTGCAATTTCTTTTCTTTATTTGAAAAATGTAGTGTAAGAGGCAATTGGGATGCGCACACCAACGTCCACAGAGCCATTATTGCCATAATTGAGGTCAGTATAGGGGTCTGCAGCGTGACTGTATCTGAAACACGGGAGAATGTGGAGAAGAAAACAAGGCAGCCTTGGTTTCTGAGGAGAATGACAGCTGTTAAAGGGGCCCAAGCACAAGAGTAGTCATGATATCCATGATTCATGCTAATACTAATAGTCTCGTACTCATCTTTTTATCAGAAGAAGAAAAGCAAAGGTTCTAACTTTCCCTTAGTTCCCTATCCCTATTCCCTACTACTCTAATTGATTAGTGTATCACAAATTTCGATTCTACTCACCATTTAAGATCACTAAACAATATGATCCATCATTGGCTCACATTTTATGCAATCAACCTTAAGCAAGAATTAGGAAATTATATATAACACCAAACTATAATAATGAGATGGGAAGTCAACTACTTAACTAATTCAAAATTAATCTTTTTTTTTTTTTTTTTGATAAAAATAAAAAATTTTGAATTTGAATTGTGTGACATATAAATGAGGTGGATTAAGTGATGAAAGAAAAAAAAAGAAAGAATTAAAGAGACTTATCTGTGTAAATAATGGCTAGAAGGATAAGATGACTACGTTGATCTTTGACCACATTCAAAGACTACTTAAGGAGGCTCTAGCATTATCTTATCTCAGTCAAGACTCAAAAGCTACCAAAGTTTATCTGTGGATAACCCTGGCAATTTCCTCCTTTAAAGACTGAATAACGATTCAATTATGCTTGATTATGGAGGGCTATTAGTGTGGATAAAAGGGCTGCAGTGATGATTGAGAAGGCTTGAAAGCCATACATAGGATAAAATTGTGTCAGAAAATGGGCACATGCCAAAGTAAGCAAGGACAGCCATTATTTGCCTCCAGCCCCACCAGGAAACAATGAGAGTGATCCTACCATAATTAGGGGCCAATACTCATTAATATCTGCTAGTGCTAGGTTTTGGAGGCTTCAAGTTCTGTCCTTGGAGAAAATGACGGATTGTGGGAGGGAAAATAGAACCTGAATCTTCTCTAATTTTGTTTTTCTGCTAGAAGGTTGCATGTAGGCTGCGGCACTGAAAATGAATCAAGTCTCTTTCACATGGATCAAGGATGAGCCCAGTTCACATCAAGCCCAAGAGAATGCATTTCTATGGGTTTAAGTCCATCTGCTGATCCATGGATGGATCAGCCAAACTTTGGCCCAAGGAAGAGTTGATGGGTGACTGAAGGGGTGGGGGATCCTGGATAGAGTTGAAGGGGGTAGATTTTCTGTTCCCATGGAAAAAGTTTGTTCCTTTTGCTGATTTCTCTACTCGCTCCACGCAAGAGGAATTCAGACAAGGAAAGAAGCTATGGAATGACCAATTATGGTGTTCCAGTTGTGAAACAATTGGGTTCAGCTTGACTTCGGGTTTTTGCTTTCTGGGTCTGAAATAGAGATGTTTGTGATGTTTCTATGGAATGCTGAAATGGTCATCTCTACTTTCGAAAGAAATGGTACTTGCAGCTCTTCGGGTTACCAGAATCCCTTTTTTTCAAATGGGTTTTCTTCACATAGACCCGTTTCGGGTGTTGATTTGAAGAAGAAGATAAGGACGTTGCGTTTTACGTTGATTAATAGGATTGGTGGTGGGATTCCTAGAGAAGAGATGGAGTTTAGGCCATCTTTCCATGAGTATTTGAAAGATATGGAGTCTGTTAAAACTGCTCAAGAGAAAAAACTAGTTCTTAAGTCTAAGAGATACAAGACTGTAGATGATTCAAGGCGAAATTATGGGTCCAGAACAGTTTTACCTCAAAGAGATGAAGAAGATGTGAAGTTGAGGAAGTTTGGAGAGTTCTCTGATGAAGAAGAGGTGTGTGAATATGTTGAACGCCATGAAGTGAAGGGGAATGGTGAAGGAGCTCGAACCAGCAAAGGTGATAAGGCATTTCTGAAAAAGGGTAGTGATAATAAAATGGAGATTGAAAGAGCTGCCTTCAAGAACCTTGAAGAATTCAATGGCGTTCTAGATAAGCCACGAGTTTCCCGAATGGAAATGGAAGAGAGAACCCAAAAATTAGCAAAATCGTATGTATGCCCTGCCTTTCCTTCTTTCTGTCTTTTCTTATGTTGGAACTATTGTTTGTCTCTCAAGAACAATATAGTTTATGGGTGTTTTCATTCAATTAGCAGACTTATGTACTCGTTTTATTCTTCTAGAGCTGTGTTGTTCCATACTTCTCACTTCTCTTCACTGGGCTTTTTTTATGTTTGCTACTATGTGCTTTTTGATTTTTCTTCTGGTGTATACTAAACTGCTAGAGACACTATTGGAATGGAGTTTGGACACAATTTGCTATGTGATTCACGTTGAAGTGGTTTATTTTATCAGGTTGAATGGTGCAGACATTGATATGCCTGAGTGGATGTTCTCTAAGATGATGAGGAGTGCCAAAATCAAATTTTCAGACCATTCTATATTGAGAGTAATCCAGTTATTGGGTGAATTAGGAAACTGGAGGAGGGTAGTTCAAGTTATGGAGTGGCTTCAAATGGGTGAACGTTTCAAGTCCCACAGGCTGAGGTATTTTCTCTCCGCACCACTCTTCCCTACCTGCATTTTCCAGTAGGTCTTCATTTCAAGAATAACTGCAAGCTAATAATACAGTGCTTAAGAAAGCTACATTCTGAAAATATTTGTTTTGGAACCTTTTGTCTATTCATTTCTGTCCTAGAATCCTGCAGCTTGTTGAGTTACTTCAAAACGTTATGTTGTACATAAGTATCTTTTAACAAGATGTACTTTTTGTCATAGACATATTTACACAACTGCACTTAATGTACTTGGGAAGGCAAGAAGACCTGTGGAAGCTCTTAATTTATTTTGTGCAATGCAGGTAATGGACATCATGTCTCATGGGTATGGTGCTTTCCTTTCTCCTGCTATGCACTTTTAATTAATAGAAAAAGTAGGCTTTTACCAGCTAATATGAATGTTCATTTCGTTTCTCTGCAGCAACAAATGTCTTCATATCCTGACTTAGTTGCTTATCGTTGTATTGCCATCACACTTGGACAAGCAGGGTGTTTGAAGGAACTCTTTGATGTGATTGATAGCATGCGATCTCCTCCCAAGAAGAAATTCAAGCATGATTTACTTGGGAAGTGGGACCCACGATTAGAACCCGATCTTGTGGTTTACAATGCGGTGAGTGATAGGTATTTGTAATCAGGTCATCAATATTTTAGAGAAGAATCCCATATCTTCTCTATTTTGCTCAATTAACAAATCATTGACTGCCAGCTTTTAAGTTCATCTTTCAATCACAATATTATATTGCCACATATCTATTATTCTTATTGGTTAATTGATCTAGAAGTAACATATTACATTAACTGCTTTTGTTTTTTGTTACTCTGATTATTATCTGTTTTGGTGATTGTGCCATTCTTTACAGTGGCATAATTTTGCATTCTCCTTATTCTTGGGCGAAAATATCATTGGTTAAGATGAATCAATACCTCAAAATGCTATTTAAAATTTTGAACTGTATTAGTTCTCGATAACTGATGTGGTAAATTTTATGTACTGCGATTTTCCATCCTCTAAACTCAGACAGGTCCTTGTATTATTTGAATGTTTGTAATTTGATGTTTGATTGTAAAGAATGTATTTTCTTCTGCATGCAGATCTTAAACGCTTGTGCTAAGAGGAGGCAGTGGGAGGGGGCATTCTGGGTTTTGCAGGAGTTAAAGAAACAAAGTCAACGGCCTTCTACCACAACATATGGACTTGCCATGGAGGTGATAATTTGTTTTAGTAGCTCTGTGACAACCTGTGTTCTATTGTTATATCTCTTTCTGAGTCTGTTAAAATGAAACAACTTGCCATGGTAAATGGTGATTGAAACCTATTAATGATCCCTCTCATGTCTCTCCTTCATACCTAATTTCTATTGCAATAAGTGATGTGTTTTTACATTATATCTGAAGTTTACTAAATCTGGTGTTGACAAAATAATCATGAATTTAAATCAGAAAATTTATAGTATCAAACTGTTTTTGTTATGAGAAGTCTTGTAAGCAAGCAGAAGCCCCGTATGG